AGGTGGGCATCGGGAAGGGAGACCTGGGGCCCTAGGTCTAGGGTTTGAGGCTGGTGTGGGGAGGAGAAAGCTGAGTCCGGAGATGTGAGCAGAAAAGACGTTATCGGGGCAGAAAGGAAGATAGTGGAGGAAAACAGAGACGGAGAAGCCGTGACCCCGAGGAAGGGACATGAGCCCGGTGAGAGCTGGGGACCCCCAGGCAGAGGAATGAGCCCTGCTGAGACCAGAAAATCAGATGGGGGAGAGGAGAAGGGCGAGGTGGGGGACAACTGACTCCTGATATACAAGAGTCTCTGAGGTCTTGGGGTCTCAGACCTCGATTCGGAGGAAGGGGAGGCTTCGTCCGAATGAGACAGAGGGTAGTAAGGGGCAGGCGGAGATCCTGATGAGGTGCCGAGAGGCAGGTAGATGAGAGAGGCAGTCCAAGGCCTGAGCCCAGTGGGGTGGGGACACCTACTCCAGGGCGCCTAGACTTTGTGGAGGGACAGGGATCGCGGTGGCAAATGGCTGAGTCCAGGTGGGGGACGGGAGTTCTGGGAGTGTAATGCTATTTCATCTTACAGGCCTGACTGGGCCGTTCCCTTCCAGTTCCGCTCAGTTTCCCGTTTAATTCCCGCTTCTCCCGCCTGCCGGGGCGGGCGAGGCTCGGGAGACCTCTGAGCGGGGCTTGGAAAGCGATCCCTCCCACCCGGTTTCTGAAAGTCAGAGCTCTGGGTTGGGCCTCGGGAACTACAATTCCCAGCGCGGCCTACGGCAGCTGCGTCGGCGTCGGCTGCGCTAACGTCACGGCGGCGGGAGGGTTGGGGGCGTGTCCTGCGCGCTGATTGGTCATGTCCAACCACTGAGGAACCTGCGGAAAACGCGCGCCGAGACCTGCGCCTGCAGACCTGGTTCCTGCAGACCGGGTTCCTGCGGCCGGTAGTGGCAGCCGCGGCGGCATGGATCTCGGAGAGCTGGAGAGAGACAATACGGGCCGCTGTCGCCTGAACTCGCCTGTGCCCGCAGTGTGCCGCAAGGAGCCGTGCGTCCTGGGCGTCGATGAAGCAGGCCGGGGCCCGGTGCTGGGTGTGTCCCCCGGGCTGGGGTGGAGGAGGGACGTGATCAGGGGGGTGCACATTGCACTGGAATGGGAGCCGGGATTGCACCGGTTTCGTTGTGTGTGAGGTGATAGCCATGGCATTGGTGATGGCACCGTAAAAAGTGGTGATAATGGAACAAGGATGGCGGCTTTCAGGGGCTCACTGGTTGGACCCCATTTTTCCAGGCCCCATGGTTTACGCCATTTGTTATTGTCCCATGTCGCGCCTAGCAGATCTGGAGGCCTTGAAAGTGGCAGGTGAGCCCTTGGTGTATGTCTGGGGAAGGGGGTTCCTGGGCATGTGCAGGGGCGGATGTACACTGGAGGGAGAGAGCAGGAATTGGGAGAACCAGCTGCTCCCCTTCTCTCCCAACCCTTTTCCCAGACTCAAAGACCCTGTCGGAGAGCGAGCGGGACAGGCTATTTGCGAAAATGGAAGAGGATGGGGACTTTGTGGGCTGGGCACTGGACGTGCTGTCTCCAAACCTCATCTCTACCAGCATGCTTGGGCGGTGAGGGGTCCCCAGGAGGGGCCTGGGTAGGGGGGCAGCCAACTTGGGCTGGAAGGGATTGGTGGCTGGAATGGGTTTGACTGGGCTCTGTTCCCCACTGCAGGGTCAAGTATAATCTGAACTCTCTGTCCCATGATACAGCCGCTGGGCTGGTGCAGTATGCATTGGACCAGGGCGTCAACGTTGCTCAGGTGAGCTAACTGTTGGGTTGCTCCATTTGATCACCTCAGGATTAAGTGGGAGTATGAGTGCAGTGGGCAATTCAGCATCAGACATATGTAATACCTCAAAAATATTTATTGCTGCTGTTGACTTCCTACTGCTTTTCCTACCCTAAAAAGGTGACCCACTAAGGACCATGGTGGGGCCCCAGCCCCACCCCCATCTATCTCTACCCTAAAAGCTCAGTGTCCAGAACAAATCCCACATCTGTCCACCTGTCCTAGCCCAGGGCACTCTCCAGTCCTGGATGCCTGCCCCATTCTCTTCCCTGGTTCCCCCACTTCCAGCCCCCTCTCCTACAATCTGCTCCCAAACAGCAGCAGCTGACAGTCATTTTTTTTTTTAAATGTAAATCTCAACATTTAATTTTCTGAGCACAGTGGAAATTAAATCAGGAACATTCACAGCCAAGGGGAGCCAAATGAGATTAAATTACCAGAGAGAAATATAAGTTGGCATGGTATCGAGTGCTCTGAGGCAAAGAACCAGCTGTTTTGAGAGAATGACATGGGCAAATACACTTGAGGGAGGGAATAGAACAAGGGAGGCCTTGCTGACGAGGTGGCTGAGATCCAGAAATGGAATGTGGAGCTGATGATGCCATACTGGAGCAGACAGACAAAGGCCCTGCCCTTGGGTTCATGCCTAAGTCAGGGAGATGGATGTTCAGCTAGTAAACAAATAATAAAGGTGATTTGTGAGAACAAAAACTGCTACAGAGATCACTTTCCCTCTTACCTCTCTGCTCTGGCCATGGGGCCTCCCCACCTCAGGGCCTTTGCACTGGCTGTTTCCTCTGCCTAGAACAATTTCCAGATCTCCACCCACAAGGCTCATTCATTCCTTCATCTCTTCCAGGCCTTTATTCAAATGTCATCACCTCAGGGTGACCTTCCCTGAATTGCCCACCTCCATTTAAAATGACAGCCTCTTCACCCAGCTGGTATGGCTCAGTGGTTAAGTGTCAACCCATGAACCAAGAGGTTACTGGTTTGATTCCCAGTCAGGGCACATCCTCGGGTTGTGGGCTCAATCCCCAGTAGGGAGCATGCAGGAGACAGCCGATCAATGTTTCTCTCTCATCGATGTTTCTACCTCTCTATCCATCTCCCTTCCTCTCTCTATAAAATCAATAAAAAATTGTAAAAAAAAAAATGACAGCTTCTTCCAATTCTTCCCTATCCTTTATTATTTACCCGGTTTCTTTTTTTTTTTTAAAGATTGTATTATTTTAAAAAATATTTTTATTGATTTCAGAGAGGAAGGGAGAAGGAGAGAGAAATAGAAACATCAATGATGAGAATCATTGGTTGGCTGCCTCCTGCACACGCCGTACTAGCGATCAAGCCCACAACCTGGGCATGTGCCCTTGACTAGAATCAAACCCGGGACCCTTCAGTCCACAGGCCGACGCTCTGTCCACTGAGCAAAACCAGCTAGGGTTTACCCTGTTTCTTGTCTGTGGCCCTCACCAGGGTGTCCCCTCCATGAGAACATGGATTTTTGTCTGGTGTGTTCATTGCCTTGTTCCCACTATTAAGTGCAGCCCATGGTATGCAGTAGGTGCTCAGTAAATGTAGACTATTGATGTTCTTTGTGAACGGAGACACTGAGGCAAGCTTGGCATGCAGGATGAAGTAGAGCAGAGGGCTATTGCTAGTCAGGCAAGTAGCAAAGGCCCCCAAAGCCCTCATGGCTTTTATTTGGGGAGTACAGCAAATAACAATGGAGTACAGCAAGTGACAATGATTAACAGGTATGCTTATGAGATCATCAGAGCTAAGTTATACATTAAACTATTAATTTCCTATGTTATACAAAGACCCTTTCCAACTGCAGCAGTGCACCCTCCCTTAAACTTTCCATGCCCTCATGGACTATTTATCACCTCAAGGAAAGTTCTGCCTCTGAACAATAAGTCTTGCTTGCAAGACTGTTTCTTCTGACGTGGCCTGCTTGCAGGCTCCCGCCTTTTCCTGGCAGAACATCCTCTTCTAGTTAACTTCATTCCGCTTGACCGCTACATAGACTGAGTACAGCTTGATCAGAAAAAGACTCTTTGGTTCAACAATAAAGATATAAAAATAAACAAATAAAGTTTAATTTGTAGAACTGCAAAAAAAAAAAAAAAAAAAGAAAGAAAGAAAAAAAGACTCCCTGGGAGGTGATGCTTGAGCTGAGACCCCTGAGAAAAATGCAGCCTGGGACGAGCCAAGAGAAGAATATTCCAGGCAGTGGGAACAGCAAGCGCAAAGGCTATGAGGCTGGCTCATTTGCACAGTTGTTTGTCTCGATGTTTGTTGAATGAATACATTTCTGCCACCACTGCAGGTATTTGTGGACACTGTGGGAATGCCAGAGACATACCAAGAGCGGCTGCAGCAGCGCTTTCCCGGCATTGAGGTGACAGTCAAGGCCAAGGCAGATGCTCTCTATCCCGTGGTCAGCGCTGCCAGCATCTGTGCCAAGGTTAGCCCCTTGCTGTCCATGACCGGCTCCCAGCGTCCCTTTAGGCAAGGGGCAGGTGTGGATGCCCTGAGGGAGGGACATCTCAAGTGCCTGTCTTGCCCACAGGTGGCCCGAGACCAGGCCGTGAAGAACTGGCAGTTTGTGGAAAAACTACAGGACCTGGACACTGATTATGGCTCAGGCTACCCCAATGGTGAGCGGATGGTGGTAGGGGCTGCTTTGGGGCTGTCCTGTGATAGTGATGCTGGTGGTAACTCTGACAAGGCAGTCCTGAGAGTGGTTCTGCTTACCCTGCTCCGCAGTGGGAGAGGCTGAGGCCCAGACTGGGGGCCACTTGCTCACAGTCATCATGTGGCAAAGCTGGTTTCCAGCTGGCAGGCTCCTTCCTGCTCCCTTCCTCTCTCTGCTCTCTGGAGCCCCAGTGAGAGACTGAGACCCATGGTGGGTGTCTGTCTGTTTGTTAAGGGGAAGGAGGCGGGATGAGGGGCCCTGGCTTATGTCCCATGGCCCCAGCTTAAATCCATCGTTTTCTCGCAGTATGAGACTCAGTTTCCTTGTCTGATATGGAAGTGATTGTGCTCCCCCAACACACACACATAGAAGGGCAGAGTTGAAGATTCAAGGTGGTTGGGTTCAAGGAACCCCTTGACCCTTCTGAGGCCCAGGAAGAGACTGGCAGGTGGGTGGGGCGACACAGTCTGTGATTGGAACTTAGGTGAGGCCAAAGTGAAGAAACCAGGTCCAGGCCAAAAACAGTTTGGCCAGCATTTGGTGCTTACTGAGTACCTGATGCATGCTGTGTAGGGTCAAGCCTTGGGGATATAGCTGTGAGCAAGACAAACAAGGATTTCCCTGTCCCCACTGAGCTCATGGTTACGTGGGGGGAGACGGACATTAACCTGATGACCCACAAATGCTGGTTTAATGACTGTTGTCCTCTGGGTTAAAGGAGAGGTCTCAGAGGCAGTCTTCTTAAATTGTACCTGAGCAACTGTTGGCCAGGTAGAGAGTCCAAGAAGAACTGCCTGTGCAAAGGTCCTTGAGGCAGGAAGATGTCTCAGGTAGTGCAAGGTGCCTTAGATACTCAAGAGGAGGCCTGAGATGAGATCATGGGGCCTCAGATGGAGTCTAGGGAGCTGGGGCTTTATGACAGGGCTCAGGGGCTGTCACCATTGCCACTCCACCCCTTCCCTAGATCCCAAGACGAAAGCATGGTTGAGGAAGAACGTGGAGCCCGTGTTTGGCTTTCCCCAGTTTGTCCGGTTCAGTTGGCGCACGGCCCAGAGCATCCTGGAGAAGGAGGCGGAAGGTGTTACGTGGTGGGTGTCCCAGAGGTGCTGTGAGGAGGGAGGGAGGCTAGGGCTCATCCCAGCCTGGGAGGGTGCACCCCCCAACCCCCAACAGCAGGTGGTCAGTGTCACCACCTCTCGCCTACAGGGAGGACTTGCCAACAGGGGATCAGGAAGGACAAGGGAGGATTACATCCTATTTCAACGAAAAGCCAGGAAACCGCCCCCATCTCCCCCACCGGTACTTCCAGGAACGTGGCCTAGAGTCAGCGACCACTCTCTAAGAGCCAGCCTGTACCCTTTTTACCTTCAGTTTGTGATTAAAATTGCTTAAGGAAAGCCAGGCATGGGGGTTGTACTTTGGGGTGGAGGTGGCTGGACCCAGCCGCTGACTTTTGTAACCTAAACAAGGTAGTGGGCACTGGGTGATTGATTTTAATTTTAAAAAATTTGTGAGAGTTTATTTGAGCCAAAATGAGGATATATGCCTGGGAACAAGATCGCAAATGCTCCCTGGTTCTATTTAAAAATATATACTTGTGTGATGCAGAATTAGGAAGGAGCACATGAGAAGCACCCTGCCCCAGATCACAGGTGGGCTTACCTGGTGTCTCAGTCTGTTTGGGCTGCAATAACAATATACCACAGACTGGGTGGCTTATTAACATCAGACAGTTATTACAGTCCTGAGGATGGAAGCCCAATGTCAGGGTGTCAGCATCGTCATGTTCTGGCGAGGGCTGTCTTCCGTGTTGAATGCTGCCACCTTCTCACTATGTCCTCACATAGGGGAGAGGGGGAGGGATCTCTGTGGGATCCCTTGTATACGGGCACTAATTCCATTCCTGACAGTCCCACACTCATGACCTAGTTGCCTCCCAAATGTATCACCTCTTCAATACCATCATCTCTGGGGGTCAGGATTTCAACATAGGCATTTCAGAGGGGACACAAACATTCAGACCATAGCAGGTGCCTCCTAGGTCCCTCCAGAGATAACCCATGTTACAAACATTGGTATAGGTATATTCTTTACCAAAGTTTTTGTTTTTTACACAAATGGGAGGAAACTATACCCTACACAGTGCACATTCCTCTTTGTGCCACGTATGTCTTGGAGGTAATTCCAAATGGGTATCTAAAGACCTGCCTCCTTGCTTTACAACTGAAGAGCTCTCCGTGGCATGACTATCCTGTAGTTTAATGCCTCTTAATAGACACTGAGTTATCGCTCAGCTTGCTGTTAAACCTGTATAGTAGGGAATTACGGGGATGGGCCATCATTTCTAGTGCACAGCTTTGTAGGATAAATTCCCAGAGGTGGGGTTGCTGGGTTTGAAAATGTATGTGTTTATCATTTGGAGAAGATATATTTTCCAATTGCCCTCTGTGGAGGCTTGTACCTAAGGGCACTCCCACCAGTAACGGAAGTGAGCACTGAGGGCAGGGAATGAACCTGAGCTATTTCAGCAGTGCCTAGACTCAGGAGGCATCCATCAATCTTGCTCTGTTGAATTAAAGAGACCTTGCCCCTGTTTGCCAGGTGAGGATAAAGAGGAGGAGGATTAGTAGTGGTGCTTACAATCCAAATCCCGGACCTGAGTCCAGTCCTTTGCCTTAGGGCAGTGGTTCTCAACCTTGGAATTTCCGGAGGATGAGGCCCAGAAACCAGGATTTTAAAAAGATTCCCAGGTGATTCTAATGTGCAGCCAAGGTTGAGAACCACTGCCTTAGGGATTTGGAAGAATGGGGAGGAAGGAAGGCGGCTTCTTGTGTGTCGGGGAGCTTCTTGCTGGTTGCACACCGTGGGAGAACACACCTCCTGCCCCGGTCGGTCAGCCCTTCTCTGACCCCGTCCCTCCCCCTCCCCCCATTTCTAGCACCTGAGTATTCCAAATGACACACCACTGTGAATCAGCCCCGAACTCGGACCGGAGGGTTAGAGTGGGACCCATCAGTCTGGCAACTGTCTTTCCCACCTGTTTCCCCAAGAGGCTGCCACATCAAGTGCTCTAGTTGGCGACTTTATTCGGGGGAGAGGGGGAAATGAGGTAGAGTTGAGTGTCTCTAGTAATCGGAGAGGAGCGAATCTCGGGTTCTAGCGAGGAGGGACAGGGCTCCGGAAACTAGAAGGCAGAGAGGGAGAGGGGTGGAGCTCTGAGTGACTATCGGGGCCGGGCAGCGGGTGGGGAGTGGAGGGACGCCTCTTCCCTCTAGGGCCGGGCGCCCCCTGGGGGCCGCTGCAGCTGCCACTGCCACTCCCGCTGCCTGCCACGTCCTGGATCCAGGTGCGAGGGTGGCGGGAGCGTGGGAAGGTGGCCTCCCGGGCCCTGCGTCCCTGTCTGCGAGTCGGAAGCACCGAGATGGAAATGTTGAGGCAGTCGCCACCGCCAGGAACTACCACCGGCAGCGTGTAGCCCGGAGCCGAGCGGCAAAGGTCCACCCCATCAGCGAAGGTCTGGGAGGAGAGGTGGTGGGCGTTTTCAGGACTGGGGAAGGGGGGCTTACGGAGGGAAAGACTGGGAGTTCCATGGAGAGTAGGGGCCCGGGGAGCGGTCTTGGGGAGGACGGTTCCTGCCTCTTGGTCTTCCTGGGAGTCTGGGGGAGGGACCATGGGGGAGGGGCGCGGGGACTTGAGGAGGGCGAGTAAGTAGTTCTTACTGGGTGCCAAGGGGCTGGGGCCTAGGGAAAGGTGAATGGGCTTCTGGACCTGCAGACTGTGGATGGCCTAGAGCAGAGACAGGCCCTTGGGAAGAACAAAATAGGTCTCTGTGGGCCTTAGGGAGCTACAGGCTTACGCATATGCCTTCCACTGTGGAGGTTGGGCTGGAGAAGGGGGAGGGTGGGAGCAGGGTCTTGGGGTGCTGGAACGGACTCGGACCGAGGCCATAGTACGGGGAGGTTTCAGCCTCTTCCCCGAGCCCGCTGTCCCATGCTCACCTGCCCGTAGGTCCTGCAGCCAGGGTTGCAGTCCCTCTTTTCTAGGGGTGGGAGCCAAGTCGGGCCGCAGGTGATAGCACTTTTGCAGATGGCAACCCTGGGGTTGGTGTGTGGAGAGAAGGTGGGTAAAGGCGCTGAGGTTGCGTTCCAATGGGATTCCTGCTCTCCAAGGATCTGTGTCTCTCCCCCCGCCCCCTTCCAGGTCCTGCCTCTTAGTACCAAGCCCCTACAAACACCACCCTCCAGATTTCTCCCCTCCCCATATTATATATATATATATATATACACACACACATATATATTTATTTTAGCCCTAGTCGGTTTGGCTCAGTAGATAGAGCATCGGCCTGCAGAGCAAAGGATCTCGGGTTCGATTCTGGTCAAGGGCAGGTACCTTGGTTGCAGGCTTCTCCTCTGCCCAGGCCCTGGTCTAGGCATGTGCAGGAGGCAACCAATCGATGTGCTTGTTTCTTTTCTTTTTTTTAAATATATGTATTTTTATTGATCTCATAGAGGAAGGGAGGGGAGAGAGATAGAAACATCGATGATAAGAGAGAATCATTGATCGGCTGCCTCCTGCACGCCCCACATTGAGGATTGAGCCTACAACCCAGGCATGTGCCCTGACTGGGAATCGAACCATGACTTCCTGGTTCATAGGTCGATGCTCAACCACTGAGCCATGCTGGCCGGGCTCGATGTGTTTCTCTCACATCAATGTTTCTGTCTTTCTCTCTCTCTTCCACTCTCCCTAAAAATAAATGGAAAAATATCCTCCGGTGAGGATTAACAAAAAAACAAACAAGAAAATTTTTAAATTGATTTCAGAGAGGATGGGAGATGGGGAGAGAGATAGAAACATCAATGATGAGATAGAATCACTGATCAGCTGCCTCCTGCACACCCCACACCAGGATCGAGCCCACAACCCGGACATGTGCCCTGACGGGGCATGTGACCTCCTGGTTCATAGGTCACAGCTCAACCACTGAGCCACACCAGCCGGGCCCACCCCATATTCTCTACACATACCCAGAGCTTTGTCACCACTGGCCGAGTCCCTGCCCATCACAGACCATCTGCTATAAGCTAACCCTTTTGTTTGTTTGTTTGTTTGTTTATCCAGGTTTTCCCTTTTAGCTTCTGTTTTCAATCAAGAGGCCCCACCCCTTTATTTAAAAACAGGTTCCTGGGAGGCCACGCCTCCCTACTGCCCATCTTAAAAGCCAGGGGCACCCTAACCAGTTTGGTTCAGTGGATAGAGCGACGGCCTGCGGACTGAAGGGTCCCAGGTTTGGTTCCGGTCAAGGACATGTATCTTGGTTGCGGGCATATCCCCAGTGGGGGGGTGTGCAGGAGGCAGCTGAGTGATGTTTCTAACTCTCTATCCCTCTCCCTTCCTCTCTGTAAAAAATCAATAAAATATATTAAAAAAAGAAAAAGAAAAAGAAAAAGCCAGGGGCTGTACAAGCTCCTCCCCTTTCTGCCTGGCTTCAAAACACCAGGCCTCATGCTTTAGAACCTGGCCATGTTGGAGGTAGGCCATATCCCTTCAAACTCTAGGACCCGTAAGCTGCAGATCCTGCCTTCGGCCCCACCCACAACATAGGCCATTCTTCCCACCTCCTACCAGGCATGGCAGAGCTCGGGGCAGAGCAGCTGTGTCTGGTGTACCCCCAGTAGCAGGAAGCGGAAGCGACTGCGGAGAGCAACTTGGAGGTGTCCCAGAAAGGATTCGCACCTGGACATCGGGAGAGACAGGACCTGATGGGTCAAGATGCCAGGGGGCTCTGGCCCCTGGGTGGGCAACTGGAGCAAAAAGCACAAGGAAACACTGGGGGGTGCTGTACTCGCCTGGGGCTCGGCTTCCTGCAGCCCTCTGAGAGGATTCCAGGTTCCAGAGCCTCTGGCATGTTCATCTCTGAGGGACAGCAAACAGGGCAATAGAGAAGGGAACTTCTTTCAGTTGAGGCTTTGGATCCTCATGTAGGGTTGACCTCAATAATATAATTCCTCTCAGACATAAAACACTTTGAGGTGCAAGTAACAATCATTTATCATAATCATAATCAGCTAATTATTTTCATGTCCCTAGTAGTGGTATTAGTGCTCAAATGCTTGCATACAACCCTTTACAACACCCCTACGATTTCTATTATTTCTCCCACTTTTTAAAAAATGTTTTTTTTTTATTGATTTCAGAGAGGAAGGGAGAGGGAAAGATAGGAACATCAATGATGAAAAAGAATCATTTACTGGCTGCCTCCTGCACACCCCACACTGGGAATCGAGTCAATCGAGTCTACAATCAGACTTGTGCCCTGACTGGGAATCGAACCCTGACCTCCTGGTCCATAGGTGGATGCTCAACCACTGAGCCATACTGGCCAGGCTCTCCCACTTATTAATGGCCCACATAAGGCCCAGAGAGGTTAAGTGACTTGCCTAGGGTCACACAGCTACAAAGTGGCAGAGTTTGTATTTGAACCCAGACAATCTGACTCCAAAGCCTGTTATCTTTAACCAACATTCTTAGGCAACTAGCCCAGGCTGCCCACCCTGGTCACTCTAAGTTCCTGTTATAAGGAAATTGTCATTGCTGTGTTGGACTGTGCATTCTTGGGAGTTAGGGGTTAGGCAGGGTCTGGAGTGCAAAGTGGCAGAGTTCATATTTGAGCCCAGACAATCTGACTCCAAGCCTATTATCTTTAACCAACATTCTTAAGCACTAGCCCAGGCTGCCCACCCTGGTCACTCTAAGTTCCTGTTATAAGGAAATTGTCATTGCTGTGTTGGACTGTGCATTCTTGGGAGTTAGGGGTTAGGCAGGGTCTGGAGTGCTCACCTGCTAGGTGCTGCTGGCCTGTACCCAGATCAGCTGCCAGCCTATGGTGTCTCTGGGACCTAATGGGGAGTGCACGGCTCCCTCCACATGCCCCTAGCAGGATCCATGCCAGGGTCAGTTGCAGGACCCAGGCCAGGCCCCTTGGTCGTGTACAGCCCCTGCAGGCCATGTCCACCTGAGATAAGAGTCAGCTCAGTTATGGGTGAGGTTTGGCTGTCCTTTTCTGGGAGCTCAGGGTGATCCTCTTGATGTACACTCAAGGATGGTACCAGGCAGAGCAGAGAATGGGCAGTTGGGAGGCATTGACCAAAGACCTTAAAATCTCAGGGGGCCACCGAGGCCTGGCTCTAACCCAGGGGTCCCCCCCCCCCCCCCCATC